CAGATGCGGGGGGGGTGGGTGAAAGGGGCCGAGCTTCCCACAAAACAGGGGCTGTGTGCGAGGAGAAAGTGGCTCAGTGCGGGGAAATCCAGCCTAGGGGGCACTTCCGAGCAAGCGGGGAGAGCGCAAGGGCCGGGCGGCGAGAGACAAAGAGAAGGGAGGACATGAGCGAAGGCAGAGGGGGAGAACAGGGGATCAGCTGAGTTAAATCACGCAAGAAAAGCTCTTTCCCCCCGCCGGCTCAGCCCTAAGAAGCGCAGGGAGAGATTCACACATACACCCCCACAGCCCCCCCTGCCTCTTTGGGCAAGAAGACAAAGGAGCGGCCCCATGGGGAAAGGGGGTGAGAAAGGAGGGGAGTCGGGGGAGCCGGAGGCGCAGATCCGCTTCTACACCTGGGAGGAGATCCAGAAGCACAACCTGAGGACGGACAAGTGGCTGGTGATAGAGCGAAAGGTTTATAATGTCACCAAGTGGGCAAACAGACACCCGGGGGGTCACCGAGTGATCAGCCACTGCGCCGGCGAAGATGCCACGGTAAGGACCCACGCCCAGACACACGCGGCTGCCCCCCGGCTCTCGCCAGCAACCCCTGCCAGGTCCTTCCCGGTGGTTACTGAGAAGTGAGCCAGGTTTTGTGCAGCCAAGCTGTCTGCCTCTCTTCCCCCATCTCTCTAACACCTGCTGAGCACCCAGCTCGGCTCTATCGCTGTTTTGTGGGAGCGAAAAGGTTGGTCCCAATTGATGCATCTCCTTGGCGATCAACTCCGTTGAGCCATGGCAATTCGCAGCCTCTGGAAGACTGGTTGGTAGAGATTGCTCGGCTCTGCTTAAGTCCTGCTGTCTTGTCTTTGTGTCTTGTTTGTGCTGTGCCTGGAGCTCTGAATTCATGAGCAGAGACCCAAGTCCCTCTTCAGTGTGTAGCTTATGACATGCAGAGTCACAGCAGCCAAGCACAAGAAAGGGTTAACGAGAGGCCAGTCTGTGTTTCAAAGTTGCTTCTGTGAGGAGGGTGAGCTTGAGGCTTTAAAACAAGGAGCTTTTTAGCTTCTTTCAGGAGAGAATTCTCTAGAGAATCTAGTTGCAGGTTTCCACAGAAAAGGAAAAAAAGAAAAAGACCCAACCATTTGCTGCTGCTACAGCTGCTCCTGCACTGCATAGCTGGATTCAGCTACCTCTCATGTTTCAGCAACATTAAAAAAACCAACACAAAACAAACAAACAAACAAAAACCCTTGGAAAATGAACAAATTGCCTCAGAAATTGCTGTCTGCAGTTTCCCTCAAAGCCACCTTCTTCAGAAGTGCATCCAGAGAGCATGTTCTCTCCCCAGGGCATTAGCCCATAGTTAATAAAATTTAAACTGCCTCAGAGCTTTCCCGAATATGTGCATGGTAAGCGGCAGGAGAGACCAAGCTGTAACATTAACTGTTCGTCTCCCACGGCTCTTAACACCTTAGCAAGGAAGAGGCTCTGTGTGTGGCAGAATTAACTGGCAAGAATTACTAACCTTTCCATCAGTCTCCATTTGCCTGTTGTCCATGGTTATCTTCCATTCTTTTCCTTGGAGCACTGAGATGTGCTTTGGTGTTCCTGTCCCCTACCAATAAATCCTCTGAATGAATACCTTTCTCCCTCAAAAAGATAGACCAGGTTTTACTTTCAGCTGCTTAAAGCAGGCCTGCTGAAACTGGAGGAGTTTGACTCCTATTCCCAAGAATTTAACTCCAGTATCTCCACTAGAAACCAAAAAGCATCTGCTATTGCGTTTGTCTCAGTCCTTACAAGGAGGCTGAAGCACAGGTTTGTGATTCTACTACTTCTGGTCCTCCTCCCACCTCCCCAGGGTACGATGCATCCCACAATACTCAGAGCACACTCCATGAAGGCATGGTCTTAAGAATGCTCTGAAACTGTTCATCACTGCTCTGAACACTAAACCAGAATTGGCATCTGGTTTCCAGCTTCCCTGTGGTGAATAACAGTTTACTGCCAAAAAAAAATCTCTCACTCAGCCTGAGAAAGCCTTGGCCTTGACCCTGTCAAGGATTAACTAACAGGTTTCATTCTGTGTTGCAAGATACCACAACAGGAAAACTTTAGAAGGAGGAAAAGGCAATGATAAAAATTCAGTTTAACATGTTTACATTCCTAGTTCGTACATGGTTTCCATCTTTATCAGATTCTCCTTAGCACCACATGTAGTTAGGACCTCCAGCCCAGCAAACACACCCCAAAGGAACCTCAGCATCTTGTCCGTTTACCTTGGATCAATCCTCGAGAGGATGATGTGTATCCAGCTACCACAAGCTGCCCGCTGACACACTCACTGAACTCCACGTCCGTGTCAGGCTGCTCTAAAGTTACCCTGCTTGGGGATGTGTGAGCTAATTCCTCTCAGGATGCTCACACGACAGCTAACAGAGAAGCTTCCATGGGAGCTGTTATGTTCAGCCTGCTCATGCCAGTCAGCTTAGGAGAGCCCAGGCTAGCTTAGGCACAAATTTCCCCTACAGGTACTAACAACACTGAGCGTTCATTGTTTTTTGGCCATACTTTAACGTGCTGAGACAGTGTACTAGTGTGGGACACCCTGTTCTGGTACCATCACATCATGCACAGTTGCCTTCAGAAAATGAAGGCAAGAGTAATGCGAAGGAACCTTCAGTCTCTGTTTCAGAGATGTTCAAGGATGTGAAAGAACATCCTTGTCCTGACTGCACTAAGCATTTCAGATGCTCAAGTACAGTTCATACCTCAATAATATGAAGAATTTTTTCAGGAAAAGCAGTTGGAATCATTCCCACTTGCCCACTTCTTGTATGACACTCAGCTTATTTGGCTAGTAGATTGCAAAGTTGGGAGCTCAGGTGTAAATATCACATGGAACTTCCCAGAGACTTTCTTTTGCCTTTTGCTTTTTATCGCTAGTACAGAACTGAGGACAATTCCAAAATTCAGGTAGTATCTTACATTCAGGATGTATTAGTAAAGGAGATGCATGAGATATAGCTAATAAAAAAGCACTCCTTCCACCACTGTAGCTTTCTGTCTGATGATGGTAAGAGTAATCAGGAGATGTTGTTCTCCCTCCTGCTTGGAGGCTATACTGAAAAACCCATTCTCTACACCTGCCAATGACATATATATGTTTTACTTCACAGTAAAGGTAAAACTTTCCTGCTGCCAGAACTTGCTTCATGACATAGGCTTGCAATAGCAGTGAAGTGGAAGATCGGTCGAGTAGTTTTGCTTAACAACTGTACTTTAATGTGCATGATTGCATTTCTGACCAGTTCCAACCTTTACTTTTCACCCCATCCAGACAGAAGTGAGGCTTTTCACTTCAGAGGCAGAGGAGAACTCTCCCTGGAAATGTCATCACAGAGCACTTATAAGCATGTTAAGGAGACAGCCAGGCTATAGGCAGGAAAGCACCAGGTAGACAAAAATACTTTCTAGATGGTCAGCCCGAAGCTGCTGTTCTGAGTCACTCCTCAATTAATACAACACAGATCAGTGAGATCTCCAGCATGGTGATCAGGTGGTACCTGGTCAGACACCCAATGACTTTTTTCTCCCCATTAGTCTAAATAAGAGAGTCAACATTCCTTGATGCTTCTTATGTGTTCATTCTCTCCCTCCTCCCCCTTCTCCCCCTTTTTTCACCCTGAAATTGCAAAACCTTGTAGCAGGTACAGTCAGCTACTCACTTCCCCACTCATTCTGCTCTTCCTCCTCTTCCACATGATCTGCAGATTGGACCAGGGAAGGAACTGCAACAAGACAGTGACACATTTATGGGTCCAAGAGCAGAAAACGCTACAGTTACCGAATCACTGGTAAAAAAAGGCTCAAGGCTTGTCTGCTACCAGTTGTAACCTTGGGCAAGTCAGTCCTTTATCATCCCTCTGTAGAAGGGAGAGGACAGTATTCCTTAACCTCAGATGGGCTGTGGGGAGGCGAAGTATCCAGAAATTATGGCAAAGTGAATCAGATTCCTCAAAGTAGAGAAGAAAACTGATGATTCAACACAACTATTTCTTTGCATGGGAAACTCCAAACTGTCTGCAGCACAGGGCTGTAGAAACAGCTTTGCTGGCCCTAGAGTTTTACCTTCATTTTGGCACCAATAAAGTAACACCAGTGGCTAACCCAGTGCAGTCAAAAATCCCTGGTCTCACTCCTCCTGCGCCAAATCCTCATGAGTGGACCTGGACAGATTGATCCAAACTTCCCCCTGTGGTAACAGAGTTTTATTTGTCTCCTGCACCTGTAGCTAGCATTTTTCTCCCCCCACCCCCCTACCAGTGCTGCATCTCCAACTTCTCATATATCATTTCTTTAACTTCCAAGTTAAATGGCTCAGATCAGCTTTCACTCTCCCTTCTTATGTGCCTCCCACAGCAAAACTTCTATAGTCAGAGTATTCTTCTGAAGCTCAATCCAAAGTCTTGGAATAAGGTGAAAGTTTCTATTGATTTGGATGGACTTTGGGACCCAGGTTGTTGGCTGGTATTTTTGAACACCAGAGTTAGACTTTTGATGGAGGTTAACTCCCAGAAGGGTCAGCTGGACATGGTGAGCACTTTCCAGCCTGCTCTTTCTGTTTAGAGCCAGAAGTGAGATTTCAGTTGGCCCCTACTATTGTTAGACATGGGACAAAGGTAGAAAGGCTGAAGCATGGTATCCCCGACTTCTATTTTTGACTGTTTTTTCTGTACCAGTCTCAGCGTTTCTTGTAATTACATTTTTACAGCTCTCCTAGATGATTTCCTAGAGTTAACTCCAGCTCTGTGCAGTAAGAAAAGGGCAAGGACAGAATAAGAGTTTCTGACCTTGGTCAACTTTCTTCCCTACCACTATCCTTGGCGTTAAAATTCAAGCCATGCCATGTGAGAGGAGGGGTGTGCAAGATCTCACTACTAGCAGCAGATGCATCAAATATATGCTCCCATCAGGCATCTGTAGGACATAGGTAGGCAAACACATGGGGAAAGGGGAAGGAGTACAGAAAAAGAAGAACCAGGGAAATTCATGAATGCCAGGATCAAAAAGACTCTACAAAGAAGGCGTTGTCCTTCCATATTAGAAGACAACTTGAAAATATGTAAGAAAAATAATATTCCGGTTGGGTTTCCTGCTTTTCCAGCCTCAGGAGTATATGCAAAAGGATTTATTTCCCAAGTTTCATCCCTCAATTAGATTCTGTTGCTGAAACTTAACAAGCTATTTATGTCTATTGTCACACATTGGAGAGACTTCAGTAAAATGTACCCAACATTCAAGGCAGATACTGAGTAGAAAATATACAAGCAGTTTCACAAAATATTAATGGGCTTCTTATAGGGACAAGCAGGTGTATACCACAGCACAGTAGAAATGACAGGTCTTATCGCATGTACTGATAACTATAATCTCTTCAAGACTGCTAACCTGTTTAGCATATTTCAGCATAATGAATAAAGTTGCTTTTTGGTGTAGATCCCTTTCTGAATGGGGTCCTAGCCACTGCAAAGCTTGATAGCAAGCACCTGACAGCAGTTGCTCCAGGTTCTGGTATACAACCAAGTTTTTGATTTGGTTCCTTTCTAAGACATTTTACTTGGACTTGCATGGAGATAGAATTGCCTATATATATAGAATATGGTTCTAGAATACAGAAGAGTTAAGGCAGCATTCAGTCATCTTACAGAACAAAAAGAGAAAGGCAGTCTTCAGTGCCTGACTCAATGAAGAGTCACCACATTTTCCTCAGCTGTGTTAATGCTGAGATCTACAGGTCTGGCCAAAACATCCAGTAATATTTTCTGTATCTGCAGTCATGTCCTGGTTCAGTCACCACAGTCACCCCCTCTCTTGAATTGCCTCCAAGCAGCAGACTTTCAAAGGGTATTTATATCCTAGTGGGGATTTGCACAAATTCCTCTCTGCCTACCTTCTAAGAGAATTAACAGGATTTAGGTATTTAGTTGCCTAGAAAACATTTCTTGAGGTGCCTTTCACCATATGTCTAAACAGCATCCCAGATCTCACTATGCGCTTCTTGCTAAATAAGTAAACTCATCAGTCTCTAGTACTGCACTGAACAACCATCACAGAGGTGGAAGTCAGTCTGGCACCCCTCTTTCACAGTAACGTGGGGGGGCACTGCATAGAAGGACAGTGCTGGAGGGGGATGGAAATGACACAGTGAGTAGGAATCAACAGCTTACTCCCGAGTCTCATACAGTTACTCATATGTCTACTCCAGGATGCATTCCAGGCCTTCCACATCAATCCCACCTTGGTGCAAAAGTTTCTCAAGCCGTTACTTATTGGAGAGCTTGCTCCAGGCGAACCTAGCCAGGACCGAGATAAAAACGTGAGTATTTGTTTCTGAGCTGGGGTTTATGATGGGTATGTTCCACCACTTCTTACCTCTCAGGGTGTCCTCCAGGTCAGATTATAAAGGTCTCTTCACTACAGAGGGAGAAGAGTGCTCAGCACTGAACATCTCTGTGGAGCAATGTGCACATCCCAGTATAGATTAAAACATGTGTGGGAGGGAGGTGACACATTTCAGACGGGCAGTACGAGCCTTTCCTTTCCCTCAGAGCTACCAACAGCTCTGTCTGTGGTATCATGTGGTAATCATGTCCCAAACAGCTCTGTCTGTGGTATCTGTCTGTGGTAATCATGTCCCATTTCTAGCAACCCATTCCAGGTGCCCAGGCTGGACTGATCCCACACGGAAGGGAAATGTGAACTAGGAAATGAGGACCAGTTCTTGTGACTGGAGTCCCTTCTGCTATTCCTTCTCTGGTGACCAAGCTCTAAAACACATGTCATCACTGGCCTGTTATGGGGGAAGCGGGGCAAAGAAGTCTGAAGAGACTTCTTTGAAGAAGTCTCAAAAGACTTCCAAACAAGTTGCTCACCACCTCAACAAGACTTCACTCCCTTTGACTGTTCTGCCACTCCCTTTGACAGATTACTCCCAGGGAAATATCTCTTTGAGACTCAAACTGGCTTATCCCACTGAGCCCAGTACCAGCAAAGCTCTGGGGAGCAGCTGCATTTGTGCCACACATGGCACGAGCAGTAGGCACCGATGGGTGAGGTGAACCAGATTCTCATTTCGGTGGCTGTTCTTAAGCAGCAGCAACCCAGCAAGTACCTTTTCCACCCACCCTGCATCCTCAGGGCAGCTCTATCCCTCCCAGACAGTTCATTCATTATTCAGGCACAGTGCATGGCATGACTAGCTCTTGCCACGAAACTCAATCCCATCCCGTTGTTTGTGACGGGCCATGATTATGATACATCTGTATCACCCACAATAGAAGAGACGATGCAAACCCGCATTAACTCGGGAATGCTCTTCATGAGTGATTGCACAGTGGCTGACCCACATATTAAATAGATGACAGGAGCTCTGATATTGGGTGCTCCTCATCAGAGCTCTGGAATTATGCATAAGTGATAGGACTGAAATATCTCCTCCTCCAGCTGCCTCTTTAATACTTGTAAAGCTCATTCAGACGAGAGTCATCAGCTGATGTAACTCTCAACAGAGCCAGGTAGTGCTGCTGATTCACAGCGGCAGGCTTGAATTACTCTCCTAGCTCAAGGTGCAAAAGGTCAAGATGTGGGCTCAGACCAGCCAGGATGTTTATTCATAGGAAAGTGTGATGAAAAGCCAGAATACAGGGTGAATATTGAGGCAGGTCCTTCCTCACTTCTGGAGTAGCCAACCAGTGCAAGAAACAGCCAGGGTCCTTAGGATGGAACTTGGCCTTCCTTCCCCAGACACATTCAGACTTAGTTATAAGCTGCATACTGTGCCTTGCATGTCTATTTTGCAGTCCCAACTGGTGGAGGATTTCCGGACCCTGAGGAAGACAGCAGAGGACATGAACTTATTCAGAGCAAATCCTTTGTTCTTCTCTCTTTACTTGGGCCATATTATTGCAATGGAAGTTTTGGCTTGGTTAATGGTTTCATACTTCGGTACTGGCTGGATCACAACTCTCATCCTCGCTTGCATCCTTACAACTTCCCAGGTGAGAAGCAGTAGGCATAGCATCCTGGCTACACAAATCACTCAGGAGAAGGCCAGTGTGCACTGAACTTTTCATATTAGATAAATTAATGCTGCAAAATATTCACAGCAGTGAAAAATATTCACAACGCACCTGAGACTGTGGTGCCTTCTGGCCACCCCTACCTGCTGCTGATTATGGCTCACACATTTTTCTCACCTCTTTGGCCTTTCCTTCCACATGTTGGTGGACTTGGTAGTGTTAGGTTTATGTAAGGGTCTTTTCCAACGTAAATGATTCTATGTTCCCCTCCAGAATGAAAACAGAGATCTTCACCTTCTCACTTCAATTAATCCCCTCTCTTCCTCACACTCACAACTTGCCTTCTATGTTTAACTCTGACTTCAAACAGCTTTCTAACTACTTGATTTCCCTTCATCCCAGGCCCAGGCAGGGTGGCTGCAGCATGATTTTGGACACCTCTCTGTCTTTAAGAAGTCTTCCTGGAACCACATTGTCCACAAGTTTATCATTGGACACCTGAAGGTAAAGGACATTACGGACCCCGGGGTACTGTGGAAACAACTGCAGCCACTTTGGCTATGTTAAAGCAGGGAACTGCAGCTCTAAGCCTTTCCAAGTGAACAGCTGCACAGAGAAGTTACTGACTATTGCACAGAAGAGATAAGAGACTGTATCATAGCTGGTACAGACCACAATGGTTCCACAAGCTTCAGTGGAACTGCACCAATTTATAGCAGCTGAGGACAAAGCTTATTAAATTGCATAAAACCCTATTTTAACATCCTGTCATATTTTAAGCATGCACTCCACTAAGGCATAATAGTTTTCAAATGTCCCATCTTCCTACATCCCATCCATTCAAAATGCCTTCAGAACTTCTGTCCTGGGCAGTCCAGGCATTTCAGCACCCACCTCCAGTAGGAATTTATAGAGCATGGGACATAGCTTTGCCCATTCTCCCAAACCCACCTTGTCTTGCCTGGTTCCTCACAGGCAGTATAAGTGGTGGACTTGGCAGTGTTAGGTTAATAGTTGGACTGATGATCTTCAAGGTCTTTTCCAACCTAAATAATTCTATGATTCCACGATTCAGCTTCACATGTAGGAAGCCATAGTGACACGTGACTCAAGAGTATATTTATTCCCTCTTCTTTCAATGTGGATGATCCTTAGCGAGGGCAAAGCAGCCCTCTGAAACCAGGAGTCTCACAGCAGCTGACAGCTGAGCCACTTCCTCTTATTGCTATTTCAAAAGTCTGGCCATAACCTGAGTTGTACTGTTTTGGTTTATATAAATGAATGGGTAATCCTACCATTAGAGGAACTGTAGTTTCCCACAGATGAACTCTTCGTTCTTGTATCTGCCCAGGGTGCCTCTGCAAACTGGTGGAACCATCGTCACTTCCAACACCATGCCAAGCCCAACATATTCAAGAAGGACCCAGACGTGAACATGCTGCATATTTTTGTCCTCGGAGATACGCAGCCTGTTGAGGTAAGGCAAAGTGGGTAAAACATGGAAAACCATTCTCCTAAAGGGCTTCAGAGAATGCTTGTGCAAAACCAGGAGTTAGCCAGTATTGGCAGACATGACTTACACAGTCAAGACTTCCAGGAATGCTAAAAAAGGAAATGCTTCATCCAGGGATTTAATCTGACTGTGTTGTCTGACAGGAGTTTGGCCATCACATCCTCCCTAACCTTGGACTGAAAAGCAAGGCTGACTATATAATTCACTATCTATTTCCTATACTGTCAGGAGAAAGTGTTTTGGGGTAGCTTGGGAAAAGCAACGAAGGTGGGATTGGAAAGAAAGTAGAAAGCCATTAAAGACATCTTCATCCTGTTGGCTTGAAATATCAACACGAGGGGAAAATATTGTGTTCCTCAGTACTTCATCAAGAATATTTAAAAAATGATCTGCCATTTCCACAGAAAAAATCTTCCCGTATTAGTCAGCACAGCTGTGCACCAGACAATCTCTACAAGGTCCTCTCCACTGAAGCCTTTGCCATGCAGTTGAAGGGATATTGCTCGCATGAGCAATACTTACTTTCTTACATTAACTACATGCTGCACATGAAATAACAGGCTACATTAAGAGATTTTAATTCAATCCGTCCTTTTAGACCCAAAATATTTACTGTCTACTGTATAGAAACCTACACAGAGAACTTAAACCATGTCCCATTCTTAATCATTTTTACAATGGAACAAGGATTTCTAGCTTTAAAAACAAAAACAAACCAAAGAAAACAAACATCTGCAGCAAGCACAACACAGGGGGAACACATTCTTCAAAAGTCCATGTTTTCTGAGCCAGCTTTTGTACTATTGAGAAAGTAACTCCAGGCACATGTAGGGGACATACATACTGGTAGATGGACATGTATAGAGAATGTCTTGCACACAGAATTTTCAAGAGGCAGAAGGGTTCTTACATGTGACTAAAATGAAAGCCTTCTCCTGGGGTATAAAAAAGCCATTATCTAGAAGATGTAAATCAGTATCACACTCTGGAAAATCCTGTGCCTGATAAATGGGTTTAAAAGCAGACCATGGTTCTACTGCTTAAAGGAAAAACTAAGAATGTAAACATTTATGTCAACAAGGAAAACTGGATCTCCCTCCTACAAAATATCTGAAATATTAGGGCAGCATCAGTCTATCTCAATACCCTTTCACACTTGCATAAATGCTTTTCCGGATGATGCTAAGCACACATCCTTTCAGAGCTCAGACCGGAGCGAATGATGTGCCTGATTTATTGGTGCTACAAGATTTACCTTCACTGGGAAACTGCTATGCTGGAAGCAAAAATGCAAGTTCGCAGGAATCCATATTCTCCCTGCATTAGCTCCTTGTGTGAACACTCCTGAAGATCAAAAAAGCCCCCTCTGTATAGCTCTAGATATTTCACTATGGAAATGAGGCTAGGAGACCGGGTGCCCTTGGCTCCCTCTTTTCACTGAAAATAGGCACCTGCAAATACACAACAACCCAAGGTCTGAACCTGTGTTTGGAGAAACTTCCCTGCATCTGCTCTCTGTAGGTGGGCTGTAGTAATGCAGGAATCAGTACAGAATAGCTCTCAGTGACAGCACTCTACTTCCTATCACTTACATGTCAGACTTACATGTCATGACACATTATAGATTTATGGAATCATGCAAATGACCACTGTCTTGCACTGGCATCCCATGTAGCAACTTACCAGATTTTATGCCTATCACATCTGTATTGGTTATGATGGAGATGATAGCAGCTCTCAGCACAGCCACAGGCATGGCAGAAGGTGGAGAAATGCATAAAAATGCCATCAGGTTCTCAAGCAAATAGAAACTATCTGCTTAGCAAGCCAGAAGAGTTTAAAAACTAATTTACACCCAGCACAATTACAAAGTCAAGATATTTAACCATACCAAAACACTTTTTATCTAATGGTGGGAATTTAGTCAAAACTCTCCAGTCAATAAATTTGCAGAGAATCTTCTCTTACATGTGAGTGTCATAACCCAAGCCTGAGCTTTCTCCTCTGTGTCCTGCAGTATGGCAAGAAGAAGCTGAAGTACCTACCTTACAATCACCAGCATGAGTACTTCTTTCTCAGTGAGTATCTGCCCTGCACTTTTCCTTTTTCTCTGAATGCCAGTTGACCTTTCCAGCATTTACTGTGTTAGCAGAGCAACTCCTTATGTCCCAACTCATCCTGCCCTTCCTCAGGACCACCATCCCCTCTGCAGGTCCTCAAAGCAGTTCAGTATATTCTTCAGTGATATCCAAGCTTCTTGAATGTTGCCAGCATGGTCGTGTAAAGCAAGGCAAGCAACTGAGACTGGAAAAAAATAACCTCTGTGTTAAAGGCTCCATCGCAAAAATGCATGTTGCCAGTTAGTGCTCTTCGATAAGTCGAGATGAGTGGGTGTGCAGTGGAGCCTCCTTTCTTCACCCCCCATCACCAGCCCTCACCTCTCTCACCAGGGCTAGGCAGACTTTCCCTAGAACCAGTCCTAAATCATGGCTTGCTCATGTCACATGCTTTTTCACCCCTCTGATGGCCAAAACGTTTCCCTTTGCTTTGCAGTCTTCCCGCCTCTGCTCATCCCTGTGTATTTCCAAATCCAAATCATCTCGACCATGATCAGGCGCAGGTTCTGGGCGGTGAGTGAAATGTTCCCTCGATCTTTATTGGGTCCAGCTGGCTCACAGGGAATCACGCTTGGGTAGGGAGGGAGGCCAGTGGGCAGGGATCACACTTTGCTGTATTAATTACCCAGTGTCCCTCCCATCACCAGCAAGGACACGTTATATGAGACAGGCAAAGTGATGTCTAATGTCTTCTCTCTTCCCTAGGACCTAGCCTGGGCCATCAGCTACTACCTGCGCTACTTCATCACATACACCCCATTCTACGGCGTCCTGGGATCCCTGTCTCTCCTCACTTTTGTCAGGTAGGAGATAAAGGGCATTCCCACTGCTCTCCCCTCCCTCCAGTGCCAGACAAACCAAGCCTCAGCTCTGCTGTGCCCCACCAGCCTTTCTTATTTAGATTCTCTGCAGTCATTGACCTCACTGTGTTACCTTGGCTGTTCTTTCCACTTACCATCTCCCAATTCTACCTCCCCGCAGCAGAGCTGGCTCTGGTGCTCAGCATCTTCCCCTGCCCCTGTGATGGTCCAAGCCAGGATTCTCCTTTCTTTCCTTGTTCCCCAGTCTCACACGCTGCCTAATCCCAACACATTTATGCACTTTTTTTCCACTTTGGTCAAGGCTGGACCATTCCAGAGTGCCTCAGGCCACCCTTGTCCCAGCTTGTTGGAAGGTAATTCATGAGCCCTCCTGAGCACTGTACGTGCTTCCCCTGTAAGTGAAGCGCTCACCACTTCTCCCAATGTGGAAGACTGCATGGCCTGTACACTGACTAGTACCAAAGGACGGCATTTGGTCCCACAGGAAGCATTAATTTTAGGAAACCATTTCATCACAGTGAAAAACATTTTCTAAAACAAATTTTTGGGGGGGAGTAAAAAGAAATGGCAATGGATGTACAAAAATCTTCACAATATTAGAACTTTTACCTCCACAAAATTTAATGCCACTGTTCATGACTTCAGTTTTCATAGTTTCAAAACACTTTGGACCTAAGAAAAAGAGGAGATTCACAACACATGCATTTATGTAAGTGCCTAGCCAAGCTTTCCAGGCTGATATCAAGCTGAAAAATGTAGGTCAACCGACCCATTATTTCCCAAACTTCTGTATTTTGGTTAAGCTAAAAGTGCAAGAAGAAAGGCAAAATTACAAATTCAGATCATCTGCTCTTTCAGAAAACAAGCCTAAAGACCGGAATAAGGACACTTCTGGACAACTACCTTGTCAACATACATCTAAGTCTCAGCATAGAGAAACTACTTTGGGTAAAGAGAAGAAAGTGCATTTCTGTAGACAACTGTACAGGTGCTAAAAATGCAGTTATATACCATAAGCAGAAAACAAGACACACTAATGCAATCCCCAGCCCTGGGCAGAGCTGAGACATGGCAAAGGTACTGAGAGAGCAAAGGGAAGCTGGGAGCTCCAGTGTGCTGAGCTTGACACCAGAAAGCTAAAACCAATGGGAGGTTGACTTTGAAATTAATGTATATCCATCAAGCAAGGGGAAAGATGAACACGGTTCTGAGAATATTTAAATTGAGGCTTGTTTTTTTTTCAGGAAGTTGAATCATCTTTATTTATCGAAAGGCAATAGTAGTATGAGAGATCAATCCACTTCTGAGGAAGAGGGAGAGGAACAGCCCAGTAGGATGTCCTGCTTGTTTTAATTATAATTGCGTTAGTCCCAGAGGTATAAAGAGGGGAAGGAAAATTCATCACAGAAGTGATTCGCTCTGGTTTCCATAGAAAGAAGAGGTATTTAGTTCAATACCTCAGAGAAATACTTTCCTCCCAGGTTGTGTCTCCTGCTCTCTCTGTAAACCCCGCTCTATTTCCCTCATAACCCGATCTGCTATATAAATTGTCGTGCTTTTTGCCTGTTTGGTTTTGAAGGTTTCTGGAGAGTCACTGGTTTGTGTGGGTCACCCAGATGAATCACATTCCAATGGAAATTGATTGTGAGAAGCACAGAGACTGGCTTAGCTCTCAGGTAACTGGGAGGGGAAAGAATACCCCTGGCTCACCCCAAAATGAATTAGAAATTTATTCAAAGAGCAGATGGGTCACCACTATCCCCAGGTACTAGTATATGGTCTCTGCCCATGACCCCTCCCATAAAAATGTTCTCCCCAGAGCCAGCAGTGCTGAGTCAAGCCATGGAAGTCCAAACTTCTGTAATTAATTTGACAATCAAAAGCTTCCTTCAGATTTGAGGCAGTATCAGGTTCAAGAAGCATGATCTGGCTTTCCTGGGCGGTGTATTTTGGCATATGCCTATGAGCAGATAGAAAAGCCCTGATGAAAATCAAAACTGAAGAGAGCTCAGTATGTTTCTAAAATCTTTCATTTCAGTCCTTATTGCTGAAATATAATCGGCTGCTTTCTACAACTTTTTACCTGGTCAGACAAATCCACCCTGCTAAAAGGATACCTCTTACTTACAGTGGTCCAAGCCCTATTCAGACCTAGAGGATAATAAAAGCAACTTTGACACTGGCTCTATGAATCTGGTATAACTTACCACAGAGAAGAAAGCATCTCAAAGCATCTCATGTGTTGATTAGTATAATTAGTATTTGTAGTTGTTAATGGGGCCTTGAAGGTGAGCTGTCAATGTGTGACAGCCAATTTCTCTCTCTCATGCTAAAAGCACTAAAAAAAAAAAAAAAGTAAGCATTTGTTTTATATTAAGCATGTGAATAGATTCACTGAAATCATGGGAGTGTTCAGATGTTCACCTTAAGCTTTTGCTTAAGCACTTTATGCAACTGGAATTTGCAGCCAGAGAGAGATTGTGGGAGTGAGACATTTGGGGAGGGGGATAATGAGAGAGATGGGATGGAGAGAGAAGATGTATATAGGATAGAGGGAGATAAGCCTCCTTGACACTGATACGGTTTTATGATGCATCCTGGGGAGGTGAGGAGAGTATATCTCCTATGGTTACTATGTAGAAATCACACCTTAGCCAGAGTGTAAGAGGATTTTGAGAAAAAACTACCTAATTTTACAGTCATTACTAGCTAGAGTAGCTAAGAAATATTTCCAGAATCTTCAGACCTTGCACTTAAGGCAAACTGGGTAATAACTAGACAGGACGGGGAAAACAGGCTGTCTGTGTCTATGTGTTTTTCCTCCCCTGCTTTCCACCTTGGTACTGTTGTTAACCTTCCGATCTTCAACGGGAGAAGCAGAGATTTAGGAGTCTATACTCAGACTGATACGTGACTTGGCACATATGTCCACAAACTGCCTCCTTATATTGTCCCTTTTACCACCGGTCAAACCCACGGAGACACAGGCAGCACAACAGTTGACAGTAAAGCCCTGAAGGAGCATTAAAGCCCCCCTTGCTGCAACCAGCCACCTCAGCACGGCCGTCTCTGCACGCTGACCGCTCAGCAGTGCCGTAAGACACGTATCAGCCCCCGCAAGAGGAGCTTCCTTCTGATGTTAGGGTGAGGCCTCACTGACCTTCACAGCTGCTTTCTTGCCTTCACAGGTAGCAGCTACCTGCAATATCGAGCAGTCCTTTTTCAATGACTGGTTCACCGGGCACCTGAATTTTCAAATCGAGCACCAGTGAGTATGGACCCAGAATCGTTTGGCCATTACCAGGTTGTCACAACACTGGACTTAAGAAGAGAGAAAGTCTGCTAAAGACACATGTGTGGGATGGGGTAGGATTTTTGGAGCCTACCATATGCCAATGAAAGAGAATCCCAGACTACTGGGAGTCATAGTCTGCTTCTACTACAGGCATGGCATCTTTCTCTCTTGCTACTAAATACTTCAGCTTTCTCCCTCACCATTTTAATTTAGGGTTTAATTAGGAGTCAGCAGTATGTATCTACCAGTTAAAACGGCGATGGACTCAAATCCTAAGCTAGCTACATGAATTTGAGTGTCCATTTCAGAAATTTCCTCTCCCCTAAAGCATTTCAGCATTTTATAGCATGACAGCTGTGTGGGACTGTGTATGCTGCTGGGTACCAGGTTCCAGAAAAGATATTAAAATCAGGGCCATATGGAAAGTCTGTTGCCAGTGACAACAGAAAACGTAAAAGAAACAGCTTTTAGGGTAAAGCTGACTGCTTTGGAAGTCAGCTGAGGAAATCTCCATTGAACAGCACAGGGCGAGGTGATCCCAAATTCTTCTTTACCTGCTTCAATCTTCCATGAGCTTTCAGAGGTGGGAAGGGGGTCACTGGGAATTCACTTCAGTGAGAAACAATTGGTATTGCCCAAAGGAAATGGGCAGTTATCTCCGCAGCTGAGGCTGTTTGTTTCCTCACTCCTGCTTCCCTCGCATCGGGTTGTAGTGATTTCTCTTGCAGGAATTGACTTGCATTGTCTTTCTTGAACACAGCTTTGTTTTAAGGCATGGCAGGAGAATCAATGCATTCAGTTTTCACAAGGCTCCTTGAAACAGAGGGCTGTGAAATATGGATATCTCTCTTAGCCTCTCTTTCTTTTGTCTGCTTGTACAGCTTGAGGAGAAGGCATTAATAATTAGCCCCTATGAGGAGGCAGACAGAGATGCCCATCCCTTGGGGTTAGTCTCTAGAGTTTTCTCAGGTTTGTTTTCTCTTTCTCTGTTCAAGCCTGTTTCCAACAATGCCACGGCACAATTTCTGGAAGGTGAAACCTTTGGTGAAGTCGTTATGTGCCAAGTATGGAGTCCAATACGAAGAGAAGCCTCTTGGAAAAGCATTTGTAGACATCATTGGGTAAGGTCCTTCTAGTATCATCTGCAGCTTGCAATCTGTTGTTACACAAAACATCCTTTCTTTTTTAGTACAGACAATTCAGGACAGCATAGACCCTTCAGAAATACCATGTCGATATGCTGCAATCTGGTGTCACTAGGTTAATAATCTTCCTATCGCAGTCCAAGGAGCACCTGCAGCAGTGTTGACCCACAGCAGAGATGACACGGCTTCATTGATTTAGTGGCCTAATGCCAGGTGACAACAGATGGGAAGCTGCTTCACTGCATCATGGGGGAAGAAACAACTGTTCCCCAGAGCAGCTTCTGCAACCAGAGCACTGCTAGCAAAGATCGAATAGTATTAGTAATTAGTATTTAGATGGGTACTAATCTGATCTAATAGGGACCTTTTTCATAATACCCCTTTTAAATGATATTCCAACAGCTGATGATTCTTGCTTTTGGGAGCTGGCAGCACGTCTTCAGGCTGCAAAGTGAGATGAATCAAAGGGGAATGAATCAGGTTACAGCCTGTGCTGTTTCCCATTTGAGCCCTGCCAGCAGCAAAGGGCTATTCCCTATAGGCATAGTTGAAGCCTACTCTAATAGTCCTTGTCAGGCAGGCTCTGGGTTAACGTTTCTGTCTCAGTTACTCCAAGGGGAATAATTCATGACAGAGAACATGAGAAAGTATTCTGCAGGCCAGGGATCTCCACTCTCAAACCATTTGAAGCAAATGCAAATTAAAGCAGATTGGCCCCAACATGCAGAAGAGCTGAAAACTGTTTCGAAGCCTCCTTTGATCCTCTTACCCAACTAGCACAGGAAAATGCATGCACCGCTGAGACCCAGGGGTGGTGATGCCCAGCATCCCACCACACAGAGCCCACCTCCCTACACAGGCTCTCAGAAACCATCTCAGCAATTACCTGCCTCCTGATAGAAGGATCATCTCCAGTAAACCATATAAAGCTACATTTCCAGCCTCCAGACTGCATTCTGTTTGCAGAGCTGATGCAGATAGGAAATTCCGTATGAGAATTCCCAGGGGGAAGTAGGGAAACACCTTCCAGGCGCAACGTGGTGAGCCCAAGCAGTTCTGCTTTGCTGTTTATTGAGGGCCAGAGGGACTACAAATACCACAGTGGGCATCAGGTGAAGTTCTTGCTCATCTGAGCTCTTCTTGCTCTATCTGCTATACTGGGGAAAGACATTCAGGGTCCTAAGGATTCATATTCAAATTCAGTAATGTGATTCTTTGCAGGAAAAAAAGACGACAGAGGGGAGAATCAGATGCCAAACAAACTTCTCTTGATTTTCTTTCCACAGGTCCCTAAAGAAATCTGGAGCTCTATGGCTGGATGCTTACCTCCATAAGTGAACATGAATCTTAATGGGGAGGTGTGAGTGACTGGGAGGGATGGGAGGGTGCGCGGGGGGGGAAAAAAATCACACACGTGTCTTTTACTCTCAGATTTCAGTCTATGTCTACATGCACAGTTGGAAGGGAGTTTCCCGTCTTGTCAGCTGCTACCGGTACGGGCTCAGGCAACCTGTTTAATCAGACAAATCTAAAATGTGCTTCAGAGAATGAAAAGCAATGCCAGTATTGCACAAAATGGAAGGTCGGGAGAGGATGGAGAGGAGGAGTGTTTAAAAAAAGAGCATTAATATCCAACCTTGACCTTTTCTTCACAAGATTCCAGTTCTACCTAAACCACACAATCCCCTGATTCATAGACACATAAAAGTTGTTAGGTTTCAGTGAGTATTTGCAATCCAAGGACACCCCAGTCCATTTATGCCTCTTTCTCCTTTCCCACGTTTGTGTTAAAGAGCTCAGCAGAGAGTTTAATTTTGTTATCAATGAAAAAATAAGGCAGTCTGTGATGCCCATCACAACAGTGAGCTCAGGTGGGCAGTGATGCCCACAGGGACCGGCAGCTGCTGTACCGAGATGGGGCTTTCAGCCCTGCCCAGACCCTCCTTTCTCTCCCTCCTTTCTTTCTTTAATCATAGCATCACTTTAGTAAAAGCTGTGATACTGATCCTGCACAACTAATGTCTAACCACCTCTCAGCAGGGTTAATATAGCTGTATTTTTATGACCAGCCCCTATTTCCAGGGGTCTGTGGAAGATCTCTGGGCTTAAACAGCAATACGTCTCCTTTAGGAGAGGGCCTGTTTTCTCTTTAATGAGCAACAGGTCTGGCACAGCATTATGGTTGTCAGTAATTTACACAAAAGACCAAAATAAGTCACATAAGCAAAACGCACTAATTGCTCCCAAGTGCTCCAGTGTCACCACAAATGGCCTTTTCACCAGAGCAGTTAGGCCACGTGCTGCAGAAACGCACGGTCCTGCCTGTCTGCACATGGCTGGCAGAAACCAAGCTGGTTTCTGCTGATCAGAGGCCAGGAGCCATGGTGCTATTTACCCTTCTCTTGGGAACAATCAGCAAAGAAAATGAGTTCTCCCTGCAAAAGCAGGAGCTGCCCAACCATTCGACCTGGCGCCCCCAGTCCTTCAGGGAGACAGCTGAAAACACCAGCCTGTGCTGGAGATACTAAACCTTCGGGAGAACGCTCTTACAAGTTGTCTAAAACTCTGTATTCTGCCCAACACCCAATTACCAAAATCCATTAAGGGCTTATCAGGAGATATGGTTGAACAGCTTCCAGTTGCTTCTCTAACAGGCAACCTGATCCCAAGTAAATCAAGGGCTTCAGATTCAGTTGTAACACAAGAGAAGAGACGTACCCTTTAGTTTATGATCAAGGACCGTGGTTTCAAAAGCAGTCTCCAGTTCCAGCAGCTGTCTCGTTGCTCACTCGAAGCACACGATAGGGGTACTCTCGTTATTAGGCAATGATTTTGCACGCCTCATTACTCAGCTCTGAAACTGGATCTTCTCTATCAAATCCTTGAATGATAACAGAAGTCCCGCAAACTCAGCAAGGCGCTTCCTGAACAAAGACAACCCCAAGACTGGCCAGCCACTTCAACAAATGCATTTATTCCCCCACCCCACCCTCTTTAGCAAAGAAGACAAGATTATATCCTTGCTTACAGATGAGAAATTCATAAGCAGGACTGCAACTTAAACTAGGTAATAATACTTAAGGTTTGCAAAGGGCTTATGCTGGTGTTCTTGCCCACCCCTAAGCTGGCAATACCAGAGTATCACTAGGAACGGTAGTATGAAAAGCTACTGTCTCCAGTGTGTCTGAAGCTCAAACAGGCTTTGAGCAAGTTTTCTAGTTGATGTCTAATAGCACAAACAATAAAGTCCTTCTGGATGCTGTAATTTCCCAGACAGGTAGTAACGAGCTAGCCTAGAACTGTGACTAACATTAAGACTGTCTTACTATGTGCATCTCTTCCTGACTCCTTGAATGTATCTCACTGGCTCTGCTCCAGCAAGGATGACCGCAAGCACACAGTAGCATCAGCAGTGCAATCTTTTAAACATCCAGCTTATTTTTCTGACAGTTCATATTCTTTCAGCCCCCTCCCAGTTCTTATTTCCAGAGCAAATATCTTCTCAATACAGGTACCTCTTCCTGCTTAATGCTGTCCCCTCTTCTCTCTCTTATCTTTCTTCTTCGGAAACTGCTTTTTAACACCTAGAGAAACTACAGAAAACTGGTAGCTCAGCCTAGGTAAACAGTCCTGCTTTAGCAGCTTGGCTTCTTCTTTGCCACTGACGAGTCTAGTGGAAGGACTGGTTTTCTACTAAAAATCCGAAGTACTGCCAACAAAACAGCCTAACGGTGCCCGGGAGACAGCAGCTACTACTGATGATGGCTGAAAGAACTTGAAACATTCAAGGAGAACAACTATGCTGCAACACTCTCAGAAGAAAAGGCCTGCTTTTAGGGAAATGGGCATTTTTTTTTTCTCAAAACCTTAGCACAAAATACCCAAGGGAAGAAAGAGGGAACAGGAGAGATCTTAACTCTTCCCCAGCTACCTGCTGCTTTCAGACTCTTGAAAAATTCCCTTTTCATGAAAAATGTTCAGTTGCTGCAATGTAGAAATAAAAACTGTGCAATGTTATAGTCAGAACTGATTTCCAAGCGTCATGCATTGTCTTTGCTATTGCAAGAGAAAAAGGTCTGTTCTGCAGAGAGCAGGTCACCAACCCTTTGTAACTAGCCATCTATTTTATTCATTGAACTTAAACGTACAAAAAGTTTGTCTGATGAAACTAAGATGCTGGTTACTTTTCCAGGCAAAGCCTCTCTGGCTCATACAGTTTCTTCCCCTCTCTCCAAAAAATCCCAGCCCTCTATCTTGAAATTCAAGCCGTTTCATATGTGTCTTTACGTAGAAGTTCTCCATCTTTTAACTGGAGCAAATCAAACATTTCTCTGACAAAGAGCCCTGAAGTCTGGAGTCTTGATATAATTTTATGTAGCACCAAAGTGTAATCAGGTTTACAGGAGATGTTCCAGAAGTTTCTGTAAGTTTCTGCAGACTTAGGTGGATATGAAGTTCACATGACGTTGCCTGGCTTTGTCTCTAACCTTCAGCAATCGCTCACAGATGAGTGTCCCTTTGCAGGTTACAATTAGCCATCAAAATGGTTCAAATACAGAAGTTTAGGCAGAGTTTTTTCCCAGTTTTCTGAGGACTGTAACTAAATATTTTCTCGGAAAATAATGAGGTGAAATCTTTTACACTTTCTCTCTTGATAAAGGTCATTCATTTGCACTGTAATGAGATACAAACACACACCAAAAAAATCTGTAAAACATGCTGGGAGGCTGCCAGGGTTTATTTAACCAGCTAAACCACATCATTGGCTACATGAGCACTTGGCAACGGAGAGAGGCCACGAGTTGGAAACACAGAGTTTGCTTCAGGGCAGAAAACAGAACGGTATGCAGGAAAGGACTGGCTTTGCTTCTCTTCAATCACTTGTTAGCAGGGACTGAAGTAGAAGCTGGAGGACCAGGATGGTCAAAGACAGTTGGCAGAGTAAGGCATTAAATAAAGCAAGTGCAGCAAAGGCAAGAGAAGCTTCTGGGCAGGAGAGAGATGGGCATCTGTTTTGGGAGAAGTAGAGAGATGGGAGAAATGTGGGAAGAGAACCAGCTGGGGAGGGATGCATGACAGAATGGGAAGAAAAATACCAAGGGGTGGTGAGAGAAAAAAAAAAAAAAAAGCAACTTGAAACCAGGTGTCCCATATTCTTCTAGTCATCGCTAGTATCTGCCTGGACAAGAGTTTATGCTAGAGACACGAGTCTATAAAGGGCAGAGCACAGGCGCAAAGGAGGCGGCAGAGGCTGGCAACATCCCTGGGCATCTTGTGGTGAGCTGGATCTTGCACTGAGCTCGCCCTCCCCCAGCTCTGAGAGCAGGGAACGGACAGGGGGAACAACACAGCGCCCTTCGATAGAGCATTTGAGTTCCCCACGGAGCACATACTTCTGCACACTGGCTAGATTATTATTTACTGTCAGGGTGGTGAGACACTGCTATAGGTTGCTCAGAGAAGTGTTCTGAAGTAGGTTAATGCTGTAGCCTGCACCTTCAGCAACAAAAATGAACTCCACTGCAGGCCATGGGTCTGTGCCAGCTTTGTGAACTAACATGAAATCTAGCCCCATGTTTCCAGGCAGAGGCACAGGGGGAATTAAGGGACATAAACACTCATTTTTCCTTTAAGCGTGGATTTGAGGAGTCTAAGATCCCAACTGCTTACCGAAGTAGAGCTTGGGAGGCTCAGAGCACCAGCAGAGCCTCATCAGGATGTATCTTCAGGCACCGTCACTCCTTGCTACAGGGGCTGATCATACTGGCTGGACTTTAGGTCTTCATTAGGGCAAAAACATCTTTTTTCTTTCTGTAACAAGTTACTGTGTCCTAGGCACGGCCTCTTCTAGTAGATGCTTTCCTAGGAAAGCCTTCCTAACAGAGCCCTAACATTTCAAATGTTTTCTAGGAGCTATTAAAACATCAAAACCACATTCCTTATAGGACAGCTCCTGATTATTCTTTAAAGAAACATTTCAATAACTCAAAAAGAACTTCTTTTTTTTCTTGTGTATTCTACTGCTCAATAAAATCATAACTATTTGTGGACCATAAAAACGTTTTACGTGTCTTTTCCAGTCACATCTGGAGTCGCTGCAGTGCTCAAAGAATGTTTCCTCTCGGAACACCTTCTGCAATAGAAACCCACTAACAGGTAGCATGGAGAAGCCAACTAAGCTACCAAAGACATTTCTAGGGCATGAATGTCACCATCCATGTCCGGCTCCAAGATCAAGAACTTATGTTTAAAGTCAGAATTCTTAAAGGGTCAGGGTAGGATTAAAGGGTGATTCAAGTCTGAATTTTAGCTTTAAATTGCTGTTCTTATTATTTCACAATCAGGTCCCAGACCAAGAACTATAAGAACACTGTGGAACCAAACTCTAGAAAAGGTTTTGAGATCAGACTTGCTGATTATGGCTTCCCTTGTTTTGCCTAACTATGTTTTGGGTTTTTTTATAGAGGAGCTGTTAGCTAGTGATTGTGGAAAGTCATTTTTCCACTTCACAGGGTTAAATTAGTGAAATTACTTTTATAGCATTGACTTTTACAGCATAGATAGATTTCTTTATCAGCCTTCACACAGTCCAGGAACAATGATGCTGCTTACCCTTATCTCGGGAACAAGCACCAAAAGAAAAGAAAATCTTCCTGTAAAAAGATCTGCCTGGCCATTTAAACTCAGTCTCCAGGCCATTTGGGGAGTCAGCTGAGAACAAAACTGATGTGAAAACTTCCATAGAAGCTTCTTCTAATTTGTCTAAAACTCAATTTTCTGCCCATTCGTGGCTCATCCAGAGGTATGGTAAGCAGCTTTTCTAACTAACAACTTGACCAGTGTTTCAGTGGGCTTTAAAGTCAGTGCCATCAACGAGCTTTAAGTTAGGCCAGAGGCTTTAACAGAACTGTGAGATTGTTAGTTCTTGAAAATAAACCCATTTGAACCATATCAGCAGATAGAGAAGCACACAACAACGGAGAGAGGCTGCGAGTAGGAAGCGCATAGGCTGTCCTAGGTCAGGCGACAAAACGATAGTTGGGGAAGGCCAGTCTATGGTTATCTGTTACCTTAAATCAATACTACAGTTTTCCAGAGTACACAGTAATTGCTTCATAGGTAAACTCATTCTGCACAGAAAGCACTCTATGAGAAGTCATAGAACTCAAACCAGAAAATGACGCTCCCTCGCCGCATTATTAGGACTTTTATTTGATCCTAGAATAAACACATTCCCCTAATACAAACACGGAGAGCTCTTACACAAAAATAAACTGCTACAAACTGATATATCAACTGGCTTTCTTCCCTGGGAGTACAATCTCTTCCCAGAACCTCTGAGCATCCAAACACAACATAGCTTGAACTTCTGAGCATCCCAATGCAACGTGGCCTGAAGGGGACCAAGGACCTGATAGTTCTGAGTTCACATTCTGCCTTAAGATGCCAACACTTCAGCCACGTCTCTCAGCCATGCTAAAACCCTTGCTGCTTTTACACAGGGCTAGTACCTCTGCTGGTAACCCATGGGCATTACTTGAAATGCACCAAGTTGGACAGTTTTGCAAGTTTTTCTTCCATCAGCTTAGGCTCTGCTTATCCACAGTTCAGCTCCTCCCTCAGCTGGGAATTTGGGAAACATACTGCCACTGTGAACCCAGTAGCACAAGTGGTTGGGGTGTCTTTTTTTATTTTATCTGACTTTGTCAGCAAGTTGTAACTAAATTTTCCATGGGGTAGCTGAAATTAAGCCTGAATTTCAATTCCCTCTCTCTCTTGAAATTAGCATAAGGCATGAAAACAACATAAAATGCACCTCATATTCTTTTGTTAAATGCTCATATGCCAGGCATTGAGACCATTGGTTCCAACTGTATTTTAAAGCTACATAAGAGCCTAAAAAATAGAGGAATTTATGATTGGCAAGGTCTATAAAGAAGGCTTCATCCATGAGCAATATTGCTTTAAAAAAAAAAAAAAGTTTTACTCTGCAGTGGCCCAATTCCAGATGTGTCAGGAAACTGTATGTTTCACAACATACCTAGTAGGCAGCACCAGCATGATAAGAAATGTGTCCATGGTGCTCACACATACAGTTTTTACCCAGGTAGTGCAAGGTCCGTTGTCACATAGCTCCCTCCTTGCAACAGGTTTTGTAAATCAGAAAAGTCAATGACAAGTTCAGACTCTGAAAAAACGAAATTTTTAGTTCAGCATTTGTGTTGGGGTTATGTTATCATATTGGCAGCTTGAAAAATCTCAATTCCTCAGATATAATATAGAAACATTTCCATTTTATATTTCCATAATATAGAAACATTTTCCATTACTGTGTCCTACTTGTACTGTCCCTCTCTAGCCTCTTCACAGTTTCTACAGAATAGGGTAGAGGTGAAGGTGCCAGCCTCTTGTAAGGCAAGTATTTCATTCACATTTCCAGACAGAGAATCATCATTTGTTTGAAAACCATGTTATAAATGGTATTAAGGGAATAATACAAACTTCCAGAATTCACAAGCAAGCTGGGAGGTGAATCATTCCCCCTTGGCAACCTTAGCACTGCCCTGGGACAGATCTATTTAACACAGCATGATTTTCCTTTGCATAGCGTGGTGCACACCACTTCCAGCATCCCAGAAATTTCACCATACAGGCACACCACAGTCTGGATCAAGATGTCATTCCTCTTCTCCAGGAAGACATTAAGATCCTCCATGACCCCCAGACACGTCAGTTGTTTAACAATCTGAAATCACTTTCTACTGAGTGTTTTTTTTAGAAGCACCACAATCCCCAGCCACCACAGGAACCCAGTGATTCAGCTCGAGGGAGTAACGATCAAGCCAGGAGCTTAGCCAGGAAGGGCAAGACACACAAGGAACGTTTTGCAGAATTCTGACTTCGGCAAGGAGCAGGCAAGACATTACGGAGTCCTTTCAGAAAGGTGGTAAGAAGCCTTTTGCTGATGAATGAGACAGGGAGAAGGAAATAATGATGAAAAGGTGTCATTTGTATACAGAAGT